CATAGTTGAGAACTTTAGGAGAAGTGACACAGTTTGGTAAACACCATACCTCATCACTTAGGACTCTGTCATTTTCAGGTTGCCTGGTCTGCTCACACTGATCAGTGTTCTCCTTGGTGGGACAGAGCTTGCTACCCTAAGGATTTTCCTTTGCTCCTTGACTACAGTAGGCTTCTTTTTCTCTTGAATGGCATCACTCTTCCAATGTGATTCTATTTCCTTTCCACTATAATGTAGAGAATTTTGAAGATCACTAGAAGCACATTAACTTTAAATGTATCATAACTGACTCACTTTTGGTATATATAGTTTCATTTCTAGAAATCTTAACTGTCAGAAGGTTGCTTTCTTACACTTGGTCATGGTAAGTAGGAAGCTCCTTTCTAACTTAAGTCTTCAGAGATTTTGTAGATGGCCTTGATCCCTGGTTGTTGCTTCAGCTGTACCTTCTGTTCTTTTTTATTTCTGCTCTCCTTCACGTTGGCATTACCAATGTCTGCCTCTGAGTTCCGGTTTTTCCATTTCCAGCTATTCTTTGTTTCTTTACTCAACAAACCCACACACACAACTTTCCCCTCTATGTATGTCTTGTTTCTTTGAAGCAGCTTTTTCTTCAGAACTTGTTCTCTGGGCTTTTTCTTTTTCTTTTTTTTTTTTTTTTTTTTAACTATTCTCGTTTGTAACACAGAAGCATAATTTACAATTCTCTTTTATTATTTCCTCAGTCAATTGGTCTCACTTCTACCCCTTCAGAGCCTTCTTTCCTTGTTTTAAAGGGTTTAATTGTGGTGCTAATGTTTCGATTTCTTTATTCTGGCAGTGAGTGAAATTAAATTAAGAAATATTCCAGAGATAAGTCCTCTCTATCATTTTTAATTTTCAAAATTGCGAAATGTTCAAAATCCCTTTTAAATGGTGTTCTTTTTTTTCTTTCATTTTAAAGATTTCTTAGGTTTCATCTTTAAATTATGTATTCCTCTCATTGGTCATTTTATCACCACTTACGAATTCAGCATGTATTTACTGAGAACCTGCCATATGCCAGGCACCTGCTCTAGGTCCTGAAGAGACAGCAATGGACAAAACAGACAAAAATCCCTGCCTTCAAGGAATTTACAGACCATAAACATAATACATTAGATGGAGTAAGTGTTATTGAGATCATTAACATAGGAAAGAGGAATAAGGAATCTGGAATAAGGGTACAGCTTTCAATAAGGTGGGCAGGGAATTGCTTGTGAGAAAAGGACATTTGAATAAAACCTTGAAAGAAACGATGGAGCAAGCCCTGAGGATTTATGTAGAAGAAGAGTGTTCCAGGCAATGGGAACAGCAAGTACAAAGGCTCTGAGGAAGGAACATTCTGACAAGTTGGTGTTGTTGTTTGGTGCTATCAAATTGATTCCGACTTATAGCAACCCAAGTGACAGAGTAGAACTGCCCCACAGGGTTTTCTAAGCAATAACCTTTATGGAAACAGATCGCCATATCTTTCCCACACACACACACAGAGGGGCTGGATGGGTTCAAACCTCCAAGCTTTCTGTTAGCCCAGTGGTTGGCTATTGTGCCACCAGGGCTCCTTGTCTGGCAAGTTAAGGAACAACAAAGAGACTGCTGTGGCTAAAGGAGAACGAACTAGAAAAGATAAGTCAGAGTGGATCCTGGGAGGCAGATGGTGAGAGGCCTTTCAAGCCTTTGTAAGGATTGTGGCTTTTCTTTGAGGTGTAGAACCATTGGATAGTTACAGGCAGGCAAGTGAGGTTATATGTCCTATGCTGTGATGTATTATTGTCACATAGTTTTTCAAGAAGGTTCATGACTAATATCATTAAAGACAAAATAGCCTTTCTGGAGCTCTTCGTGCTATAAATATTTGCTACTCAATCAATTAGGAATATGAACTAGATAAAAATGACTCAGGTTTTTCTCTTCTCTCCCTTCCCTACTCCCAATCTGTTGTTCAGATGCCAAGACCATTATTATTGTTCATGTAACTTTTTATAAGCCTTATCTCTAGGTAAGGAACTCTAGTGATGCAGTGCCTAAGGCATTTGACTCCCAACCAGAAGGTTGGCAGTTCAAACCCACCAGATGCTCAGCAGAAGGAAGAGGAGGCAATGGACTTCTGTAAAGATTTACCACCTTGGAAACCCAATGGAGGTCGCTATGAGTCAGAATTGACTCGATGGCTGTGAGTTTTGGTTTTCTCTAGGTAACCAAGAACCATCAATTATTTGAGGCTCTCTACAAACTCAGTCCTGATTTAATTTATTTATTTGCTACTTACTTCAGTACTCCTTCCAGAAAGATGAGAAAATGAGGCATACAATGAACAACATTTAAGTTAAAAAGCTGTAGTAAACAGAAGACTATGTAGGAAGAAGAAGCGAAGGTAGGAGATCCATCTAGTTGACTGTTGTAAAATGATGGGCCAGTTTACCCATGAGCTTCATGGTAGCAGAACTAAAAGGAAAATAACAGATTACATAATTACCCTCATCTGATTTTCCTGGTCTACAACACTGGTCTTTTCCCTGCTTATTCCAGACATGCTACCACATGAAATATGTTTCATAGCCTCCTTTCCCTTCATCATACATTGATTACTTTCTAAAATAAGATGGTCAAGATACATTTCCAGGTCCTTCCTATAATGCTATTGTTTTGTTTGTTTCCTTTTGCTTTTGCTGAAGGAATTGCCCTCTTCCCAAAATTCTGTTAGTTCACTAACTGTAGGAATGACAGTCATGGTTGATCCTAAATTTATTTTTTTTAAAAAAAATCTTTCACTGGATTGTTAGCTACTTAACACAGAAACTTTGCCTTTCATCTTTGTATTCCTGGTATCCCCTAAACAAATACTTCTTCCATTCATCACCATAACTCCAAAATCTAAATATAGAGAATTTTGTCAAAAGCTGGATAAAAAAACTCATTCAGAGGTAAAAAGTTGACCTGAACTTAAGTAAGACTATTCAAGAATCCTCATTTGTCCCACTTGTTTTTGAATTTTGAATATTCACATATTTTGCTACAGCACGGAAGTGGGTTTAATCTTGGGTGCTTCCCAGACTCTGCTGGGTGTTATGTGACATTTGTTATATTCATCTTACTACTTTTATAAAATTTAAAAACATGTTCATTCCAGAACACATTTGGAGATTAAGGACCTGTGATAGCCAATTCCTAGAATATTGTAGGTGCCTAATAAATGGAATTAAAATGAAGTTTGAGTAATATGAGGTACTTAGAAATGAGAGAACAGGAGCCCTGATGGCATAACAGTTAAGGGCTCAGCTGTTTACTTTCAAAAGGTTGAAAGTTCAAACCAACCCAACAGCTCCATGGGAGAAAGACCTGCTTCTGTAAAGATCTGCTTCTGTAAAGATTACAGCCAAGGAAACCCTATGGGGCAGTTAGCTCTGCTCTGCTACATGGGGTCGCTGTGAGTCAAAATTGACTTAATGACACCTAACAACAACAACAACAGAAATGGGGGAACTTTACTGCAGCCACCCTTGTGACCATGAAGCTTAAAGGAATAGCATAGATGATCCATTCCCTAAAAGCAGTGTATCAAAATGTTTCCTTAATTTCTCTCTTGGAGTGGTAGTAATTGGTCCTCATTCAGGCTAATAAATCTGGGGAGTATGAAGTGTTGTTCAGTCAGGTAGAGTTGTTCCTGTTAGTGTCCTGGAAGGAGCTTTTTGTGTGATTTGTGTATTTTTTTTTTTTTTTTTTTTTTTTTTTTTTTTTTATGTTGTCCCTGTATCTTATCACTGGATATCTTTTTGTTTTTCTTCAGTATTTTTTAAAAAGGTGTCACATCAGCTTTTTTAATACTGGTGATTTAATTGCAAAAGCACACATAAACAGCTTGAAAGGTGTGAGGAGAAATTCACAAGTCACATGGGGAAACAGCAACAAAGCTAGCATTCAGTCTGGAATTCCTCCACTGTGCAAAACAAATTGCAGTGCCAATGGGTCAGATGGTGTCTCCTGAAAGTGAGTGAAAAATGAGTTTGATACAAGAAACATTTGTTTCACACCAAAGATGCTATGGGAAATATCAAGATGAATCAAATGGAGGCTTCACTCTCACAGAGCCTAAGTTTAGTAGGGAAAGCAAGACCTGTATGTAAAATAGATAAAATGCATAGCAGAACCTGCCAGAGAGGTTAATCACAGGAGAGACTTCACAGCTCAGGAGATGAGGAAAGGAGGTGGATTTGCTCTGGGTTTGAAAAAGTGAGTCAAAATTGAATAAATGAAGAGGCTGGCCTGGTAGAATACAAGGTTAAGAAGGACAGAGCCCCAGCTCTCAAGAAGCTCCATACATAATAGGAGAGATGCATGTCAACAGATAAATTATGGTGGGAAGTGGTCCATATTATAATAGACACTGTGGAACTCTGGCATCCCTGAAGGTTGGCAGTTCAGACTCACCCAGAGGTACCTCAGAAGAAAACCCTGGTGATCTGCTTTGGAAAAGTCACAGCCATGAAAACCCTATGGAACACAGGGATACTGTGACACTCATGGTATTACCATGAGTCAGAATCAACTCCATGGCAACTGGTTTGGTTTTTCTCGTTTTATGGAATCCTGACAAACAACAACGGGTAATTAATCTTTGGGGGATATGGGGAGGAGTTGACTTTTAAGCTGGGTCTTGAAGGACACAAGAAGGGTAGCAATGGGTCAAGGAATGCATTTAACCTATTGCCATGGAGTTGATACTGACCTGTAGTGATCCTGTAGGACAGAGTAGGACTGCCCCCATAGCATTTCCAAGGCTGTAAACTTCATAGTAGCAGACTGCCACATCTTTCTGCAGAGCAGCTGGTGGGTTGAACTGCTGAGTTTCAGTTAGCACCACCACGGCTTCTCCAGGAATACATTTTAGGCAGTGTAAATGTAAAGGCGCCTATTTGAACTCTCAGCACCAGGATAGTTACATGATAGTAACTTTGTGTTGTCTTGTCATTGCAGGTGAATCAAGCTCCCCTCCTGGAACAGTACAGAGTGGGAAAGGTATGCAGAATAAGAGTCAGTTTAGGACGATTGCACCAAAAATTATACCTAAAATTCTAACATCCAGAATGCTGCTATGTCCTTCCCTGTCACTCTCTGATCACCTTAATCCAGGACCCTCCATTAACTACAAGTCACTGGTGATGCCTTCCCAGAACTATGCTCTAATGCAAGTTGCTGGCCAGGAGGGGACATTTTCTCTTGTTGCTTTGCCACATGTTGCCTCAGCACAGCCAGTCCAGAAGCCCAGAATGGCCCTGCCTGAAAACCTTAAGTTGCCTATTCCTCGGTACCAAACCCCAAGAAATAGCAAAGCATCAAGAATGAAATCCAGCCTGAGCTCCTCGGAGAGTAGCTGTAGCAAACCTGTCCAAACCCAAGTGTGTCCTCAGATGTCCCCTCCTCCACTCAGTCATCCTGAGCTCCCCCACAAAACCATATCATCCAAGCAAGCACTGTCTCTGTATGATGCCCCAGTCACCATTGGCACAGCTGCTCTGTCCAATGGAGGTGGCCTCAGAGACTTGATACCTCCACTGACGCCCAGCTGTGGAGACGTGAATACTCCTGTCCTGCCAAGACCATCCACCCCACAGAAGCCCTCAGTGGAGCAGACCCACATTAGGATTTCAGGAACAGCAAGCTTTGCAAGCAGGAAAACCTGCAGTAAACCTTCTGCTGTACATCTTGCAAAAGCCATGACCAGTTTTTCACCAGGCATTTTTGGCAGTGCAGTTCAGTTGATCTCTTCAGTCCCCAAAGGAAAATTGCCTATCTTACCCTACTCAAAAATGAAAACAGCAAAGTTTTGCAAAATTGAGCCAGGTACCCACATTGCAGAATTGTCTTCACCTGGGCACAGGGCTGACTGTACTAAGGTATCTTCCATCACAGAAGGCTTTAATGCAGCCACCAAAATGACTGACAAGATACCTTTTCTACAGGTATCAAAGCAAAGCCCCTGTGAAAGTGCCTTCTGTCCAGCCTTCAAGCTAGAGTTCAACCACAAAACAAAACGAAACGGTGGGGCAGCCAGGAGAAGAGCACGAAAACAAAAGTTAACGGATGAAATCTTGGCATTTCAGGGGAAGAGGAGAAAATGCATCATGAATAAATGTAGAGAGAGTAAAGAAAGAGTAAAAAATGTTCCCCAGGAATCCAGAGATCAAAAACCTGTGAAAAAATACCGTAGCATTATGCCCAAACCTGTATTTGTCATGCCAGCATTGACTTCCCTGGCTTCCCCTGCAGCTGTACTACAATCCCAAATTCCTGGAAGCCTAGGCCAGGGTGCTGTGGTAAATCAGTCACTCACTTCTAAAGCCTTTGGCCGTAAGCAGAAAGAGAGTCCTTCCAGTAAGCCCAGTTTTGCCTTCAAAAATGGATGTCCTGGCATGAAGAAGCCTTGGCACAGATGTCAGGTCTGTAAACACCACTTTCAGTTCAAGCAGCACCTTCGAGACCATGTGAACATGCACACTAACAGACGGCCTTACAGTTGTTGCATCTGTCGCAAGACATATGTCCATTCTGGCAGCCTGAGCACACACATGAAGCTTCACCACAGTGAAAACCGTCCAAAGAGACTCCTGTGCTGTGAATTTTGTGCAAAAGTGTTTGGTCATGTAAGGGTCTATTTTGGCCATCTGAAAGAAGTACACAGGGTCATGATCAGCACCGAGCCCTCCCCCAGCGAACCACAGCCAGGAGACATGCCAAAGACCAGAGACTCAAGTGTTCGAAGGACCCAGGGGTCAGTGGAGAGGTGAGTGCTGATGGAAACGGAGGGCTGGCCAGGAAGTCTGTTTTGATTGGGAGGAGACATGAAGATTTCATAATCTTTATTGCCTTCCAGTTAGTAAAAACAGATCTCGGATTAAAATTTCTTAAGGTAGCTACTGATTCCCCCGAGTGCTGTGAAGAGTGACCTCAGTTCTCCACAGTTTCTGATCAGTCATGGATTTTTAATTACTTTATTTGCTGTGAGTCAAGACATAAATACCAGTTTGAGGTATAGTGGGGACAGTAAGGAGATAGAAGATCAATTGTATCTGAAATATGAAATTGTAAGTTCCTGCATATAGTTCCTTGGAGTCTTTACAAGTAATTTCCCCCAAAATCACATCCACAGAATTTATATGTGAACAGCAACATTTGCCCTAGAACACAGCCGGCTCCATTGTAGGGGATCAAAATGGATCTGCTGTGTTGATCATACCAAGTCCTATAGGATCACTACAGGTCATACCAAAGGTGACCAGACCTAATTGACATTTACTCTATTTTTCCCATCAGGCTAAATTAATCTTGTCCTGTGTTATTTCCCTTTCACAGGTCCTACCATTATAAACAACTGGCTACCTAAGTAATTTGAAAGCTTGCCAGTTAGGTTTTAGAGCAGGAAGTGAACCAGGGACACACCCTTACTGGGCACTGAGAGCATGTGATCTAGTGCATCTCCTGTCCACCAGGTACCCAAGATGGAGTTTCATTGAAATTATCCTCATCAGCACCTGAGAGTTAAAACATATTTCAACACTTTTGACCCCTCATCATTCTTAATTATTCCAGTTGTTCTAAATATGAATTGTACTTTCGATTTAATTTTGGCTTACTTTGTCATACTCATTAAAAATAATGAAAGCCTGTCCTTTTTTTTCCCCTTGGTTTTCTATAGTTTCTCTGTTTAAGCATTTCTGTCCCCTTCAGATATCTGTATTTGCCTGGATAGAAATCTCCTTCTAGAAACCTCACCTTTTGATTTATTTTCCTTTAGTTAGACTTTTGGTTTTTAAGAATGATGTCCAGTCTGCATTAGTGCTCAAAGTTAGTGAAGGCCACAGCTAAGACAACTAGCTTCAATGGACTTCAACTAGCAAGTGTCTCTGCTGTCCTTGACTTGATATTTCCTGACCCTTCGATGTGAATTATATCTATCACTGTCAGTAATCAAGGGAGCTCTGGTGGTGTAGTACTTAAGACATTAGATTGCTAACCAGAAGACTGGCGGTTCAAACCCACCAGCCACTCCTGGGAAGGAAGATTGCTCGATCTATTTCCATAGAGATCCTGCCTTAGAGATCCAAGGAGGGGTAGCTATGAGTCGAATCAACGCAAAGGCAGTGAGTTTGGGTTTTCTTGCTTTGGCCAGTAATCAAAGAATAATAACCTCTTCTGGGGAGATGCATACAGTGAAGCACTCTTACTAAATGAACCCTGAGAGCTTGTGAATATGTGGCCCCAGGAGTGACAGGTGGCTTTTACTGTGGCCCTTTGCTTAAGATCTTCCTGTGCTCTATTCACTCCATCCTTTGTGCTTCTTGGAGTCACTAGGTGGTAGTTCAGATGGTCAGTATGCTCGGCTACTATCCAGAGTACTGGTGGTCCAGGTCCACCCAGCGGCACCTTGGAAGGAAGGCCTGGACATCTGTTTCCAAAAAGTCAGCCATTGAAAACCCTATGGAGCACACACAGTTCAACTCTGACACATATGAGGTCATCGTTAGTTGAAGTCAACTCGATGGCATCTGGTTGGGGTTTTTTGTACTTATTATCAGTGGCTGTGTTTTAGATCCCTGAAGACTAAGAGCTTGAAAGGAAAAGTTCACATTGTATTTTTCCATGAAATCTTATATAGGCTATTTTCCCCCTTTTCAGGGAAAACAAATCAAGCCTGGAAGAAGACCTCTTTCTGAATCAGGTGGACAAAGTCAAATTACAAATCAGATGTGGCCGTTGTCAGGTCACGACTCAGTCTTTTGCAGAAATAAAGTTTCATTTACTGTATGTTCATGGAGAGGAAATTCAGGGCCAACTCCAGGAAGGGATTTTACCAGGAAGCAAAGGCCCTCAGGAAGAACTGGTTAAACATGCTACTTCTTACTGGAAACAATATTCTGAGAGAAAAAAGCTAGTTGAGCATTGTTCCTCTGAGGAGGAATTATCTGCATTTCCTAAATTGAAAAGACAACTCTGCCTTCATCAACCGGGTAATGTGCAAATACAAATAAAAAATGAAGGAACCCAACTGGGAACAAGGGAGCTGGGAGAAGATCCCCAGAGCTCTCAGCATACCACCTCAGACACCATTCTCTTTTGCTCCCATTTGGGCTTTAGCTGCCTTCTCTGTGCACAGACCCTGGGAAGGAGGGAAGAGCTCCTCCTCCACTGGAAACAGCAGCATAACTGTGAAGATCCCTCCAGACTGTGGACTGTTTTAAATGCTTTCTCCAACCAGGGGGTGATTGAGTTTTCCCATGAAATTGAAAAATGAAGCAGTGGAGACAGAAGGGGATAAAGGAAGGTTTTACTATCACCTTTCTCTGAAAGCTTGTATTTTATTTGTGGTGCTTAATTATAAAATCAAGGAAATTAGGCTCAGCATGAATGAACAGAAGTGATTTTGTACATAGTTTTATTTTCTTATAAAATATATGTGCTTTGGTGCGTATTTTTAAACCATAGGCAGACTTATTTTAAAATTCTGTGTACCAACTCTCAATGTCTTAGACTTTATTTCAGAATAAATGAGAAGAACCAAATTTGGAGATTGAAATGTAGAGGTTTATAGGCTGTTCTTCAAATAATAGTTTTCAGTGAAAACATGGGCATGTGTCCTTCAGTTCATACATTTTCTGCTTACGTAGATTGACCAGTGTGATAGGTTTCAAGGTGGCAAAACCATTTCAGTCTCAAAACAGCAGCAAATTGGATGGTAAATATTGATATATTTATTAAATTCTCTGATTTATGTTAATATGCTGTACAGCAGTATAATAAGATCATCTATCAAATTTTAAAATCCATGCTTTCAGGATTTAGGTTTTTTTTTTTTTTCAATTCTGCTATTTTCTTAAATAACACATTGCCTTGAAGATCATTTGTTGGTGAGTCTTACAGCTATAGTGTTCCATATCAAAGTAATGGTTCAAACCCATCAGCCACTCCACAGAAGGAAGACTGGGCAATCCACTTCCGTAAAGATTTACAACCTCAGACCCAATGAGGGTCACTATGAGTTGGAATTGACTCGATGGCAGTGGGTTTGTGGTGTGTTTTTGTTTTTGAATTTAAAAAAAAAAACTACTTTCTTGGAAAAAAAATGTCATTTTCAAGTAGTCTTTGGGGCCAGAAAATTGACAGCCTAGATGTGAATGAGATGGTTCAGTCCAGATGTCTCAGTGTGTCAACTGCTTCCCATCACTCCTAAGTAACTTAGGGAGGGTTTGTCACTAGCTGATGGATTTTAGGTGCGACTGAGCCATTCAAACCAAGGTTCTTTTTGAAAGTCAAGAGTACATAATTGCCTCTTAAATTCCTGGGAAATTACTTCAAATCAAAAAGTTGCCATCTGAAGTTCTAACCATCCTGGTTACAAAGTCATTTTCTTAGAAGGAAGAAATTGAACATTCATCCTAATAAAATCTTGGCCTTTGAATGAAAGCATTGTGTATGTAGCCAGCCCCATTTGCCCAGTCCAGCATCATTATAACATTTTCCTGTGCTTAAGGAAGTTCCCTATAACAAAGGAAGAAGTGAATTCAAATTGATAAGCTAGTGGGTCTCAAGTCTTCTTTTTTATTTTGAAGTTCAAAAAGCAAATGTCTATAAGCACGATCTGGCGCAAGTAGTACAAAAAGGGAAAACTATCTTTGCCTTTTTACAAATTGTTTTGTAAATCTGAGAATTTCTAAAAGGGTAGGGGATGGAAACCTCTGAAAGATGTTCCTGTGGTTTATCAGTTGCACTCTATTCAGTTTCAAAGAGATAATACACGCCCTCCATTGTTTGATATTTTTAGAACTCCTGGTTTAGTAAATGGGAGCTCTGGTGGCATAGTGCCTAAGGTATTCAACTGCTAACCAGAAGGCTGGCAGTTCAAACCCACCAGCCACTCCTCAGAAGATTGGGCAATCTACTTCCGTAGAGATACCACCTCCGAAACCCAAGGAGGGGTCTCTGTAAGTTGAGATAGGCAGTGAGTTTGGGTGGGGTTTTTTGTTGTTGTTGTTGTTTACTAAAATTTTACCATTCAATACAGCTCTAGTTTGTTTTTGGAAGACTGGTCTTGAAAACATTTACAAATTAGATCTTGTAATTTACAAATTAGGCCAGAGAATTATTTGAATTCAAACCATGAAACCTGAATTCAGATTATGAAATAATTCACAGCCTACTGAGTTCTCAGGTGTTAAAAGCAGCATTTGGAGCATGTCTGGAGACCAGAGGTGTCAGGGAGCATGCATCCACTAAGCACACATAGGGAAGTCTGGAGTCCACAAGGTTATAGAGGCGCCCACCTGCAGGCTACTGCATAACCTCTTGCATTGGGAGGAGCATAAACAGTCTCTGGGAACAACTAGAGAGTGGAGCGAAAACCAAATCTACTTCCAACAAGTTGATTCCAACTCATAGGATGGAGTAGAACTGCCCCATCAGGTTTCCAAGGCTGTCAGTCTTTACAGAAGCAAACTGCCTCATCTTTCTCCTGTGGAACAGCTGCTGGGCTCAAACCACCAAACTGTTTGTTTAGCAGCTGAATGTTTTAACCACTATACCACCAGAGCTCCTTAGTAGAGAGTTAGGAAAAGGAAGAGGACAAAGTAGAAGATGTGATTGGCTCTTGATTAAGTGCTCTGGGCAGACCCTGCTCTAGAATGTATTTCAGAGCCACGCTCCCAACATCCTCACGAAATTCAGGCCACTCATTTCATATAGACACTGGTCCTTGGACAGTGGGAGGAGTAGAGGCTCATCTTTACAGAAAACTCCTAAAAAGAAGAGGACTTGCAGTGGAAAGAGACCTTCACTGGATACTTAACTTGTGAGTGTGTGTCGGGGGAGTTAGTTCCAAACAGAATATTACAATTCTCAGCTTCTAGAAACACTCCCCTGCATTATAATGGGAGCAACTCCAAACATCACCCACAATAAGAAATTTCTGGCTCTTAGTAGCAGCACTACTTAGGTGAGCATGGTGAGAAGAGAGACTCTTGTCTGGTAGGTAGGGAGAAAGGAGGAAGTAATTTAGCTAAAGTTGCTTTAGTAACAAGGCCCCTAAAGCAAAAAAAAAAAAAAACCTCACTGCCCTCATAGTGACCCCTCCTTGGGTTTCTGAGATGGTATCTCTATGAAAGTAGATTGCCCAACCTTCCTTCTGAGGAGTGGCTGGTGGGTTTGAACTACCAGCCTTCTGATATAGCGGTCAAATGCCTTAGGCACTACACTGCCAGAGCTCCTAACAGAGCCCCTGGGTGGCACAAGTGATTAAGCACTCTACTAATTGAAAGGTTTGTGGTTCAGGTCCACCCAGAAGCACCTTGGAAGAAAGACCTGGCAATCTGCTTCTGAAAAATCAGCCACTAAGAACTAGTGGAGCACAGTTCTACTCTGGTACACTTGGGGTCGCCATGAGTCAGGATTGACGATGGCAACTGGTTTGGTTTTCTTTGGTTTTAACTTTAGTAACAGATCAGAGCCTTCCTTAGATATGGTAGAGAGATGTTGCCCACATGGTCTCAACCTTTATACGTAGCCTAAAGACAGGGAGTACAGAGGCAAGCACCCTGATGCTTACTCCCTGTAGGACTATGGAGAGAGGTCTAAGCTTTTGTTTCCTCATCTGTGAAAATGAAGGTGATCTTACTGCAAGGCATTGTTGTGAAGAGTCAGTGAGACACCAATAACGTGCCTAGGAACTCTGATAGCATAGTGGCTAAAGCACTTGACTGCTAACCAGAAGGCTGGCGGTTCAAACCCACCAGCCACTCCTCGGAAGGAAGGTTGGGCAATCCTACTTCCGTAGTGATACTGCCTCGGAAACCCAAGGAGGGGTCGCTATGAGTCGGGGCCAACTAGACGGCACATAACAACAATAACTTTTTCAAGGAGTTCTGATGACATAGAGGGTAAGGCATTTGGCTGCTAAACACAATGTCAGTGGTTCAAACCCACCAACTGTTCCACGGAAGGAAGATGGGGAAGTCTACTTCTGTAAAGATTTACAACCTCAGAAACCCAATGGGAGTTGCTGAGTCAGAATCGGCTCAATGGCAGTGAGATTGGTTTGGTAATAACTTTTTCAGTAGTACAATTCTCACTTTGCCTGTGAGAGACCCAGTTCAATTCCTGGCCAGTGCACCACGTGCACAGGCACCACTCGTCTGTCAGTGCTGCCTTGTACATTCCTATGATGCTGAGCAGGTTTCAGTGGAGCTTCCAGACTAAGATAGACTAGGAAGAAAGGCCTGGTGATCTATTTCTGAAAATGAGCCAGTGAAATCCCAGTCAGAGCTCCAACCTATCATGGAGTTGGTACAGGACTCAGCAGTGCTTCATCCTGTCGTGCATGGGGCCACCATGAATTAAGAGCCGACTCAACAACAGCTGACCACAACAATACCTTGTCTGGAACATTTGGGCACATAGTAAGTGGTGGCTGTTATTTATTCTGCTCCTGGCCAGGCCTGGAAAAAGAGGTATGTGATGCTGTAGAAAGATTTTTAAAAACAGCTCAAATAGGTCTCGAGTCCAGAATTCAAAGATGAGAACTCTTCTGAGAACAAGAAAAATTGCCATCTTTGTATAAAAAGTGAGTTTTAATTTTAAAACAAGGGATTTTGATTTCATGGAGATTTATTTAATGTCTAATCAACATACAAAACAAAATTCATTAAATTATTTTGTTTCCAGGCCCCACTTTGGGGCTTGTGTTTCTCAGGTCTCAGCCCAACTGTACAGCCTCCGGGTGGCTGCCTGTGTTAGGCTGGGTTCTCTAGAGAAGCAAAACCAGTAAAGCTTATATATACACATATGTGAAAGAAATTTATCTTAGGAAAATGCTTCACACACTTACAGAAGCTGGCAAGTCCTACGTTCTTGGATCAAACATCAAGTTGGAGGCTTTTCCTGACTCACACAATTGCAGGGACTGACAAGCTCAAGGTTGGCAGGCAGTATAACGGCTGTTGACTCCAACGAATGACAAATCCAAAACCTCCAGACCAAATGGTGGATTGTTCACTCGCAGACAGTTGTAGGCAGCAAAACAGGATCCAGATCCACAGAAGAGTGTCTCTTTTCCTAGGATGTCCATAAATATATTGGAAGTAGGCCACACCCCTAGGGAAACTCGCTTTCAATGGATTGGCAGCTCAAAACATTTACATCCAATACCATCGTGAGAATACCCACATCACAATTGCTTAAACCACACCGAATTGTGGTCTAGCCAAGTTGACACACAGCTCCAACTATCACAGCCCACCCCTTGTT